AACACACACGTTTACAACATGACGACAAGATAACACACACGTTTACAACATGATGACAAGAGAACACACACGTTTACAACATGACGACAAGAGAACACACATGACGACAACAGGAAGTGAAGTTGTTAATATGTATGAAAAATAAAACATGAGTTTAGGTCCATGTCTGACCTCAGACCAGTGAACAGTGACGGCCTTGTTAGCAGCAGGGTGACGGATTATTAGCATCCATTGCTAACTTGGAACTGTGCCAGCCGGTGACATCACAGCTGACCAACCAATCACAGAGCTCTCAGACCGGCCGTCACGGCTCAGCACATGATCACCTGTCACCTTAAACCCCGGGATGAGTCTCAGATCTGCCCCCGGCCTCCTTCTGCTTCTCCTCGTCTCCTCACTGGCTGTTTGTGCTTTTATCTCAACATTCAGATCATCTCAGACGTTTCTGGATTAAAGACAGACTCAGAGATTTAACGGATCACAGACACAAGACGCTGTGAGCGTTGAGTTTCCTCTTCACAGCCACGGATCACAGGTGAGATGAACATGTCTTCTTCTTCTTCTTCTGTGTTTTCATTTATCAACATCGACAGCTTCACTGACTTCAGTGTTGGTGCTGGTCACATGATCGCTGATGTTCTCTGTCGTCATCATCGGTGACACGTTCCTGGTCTGCCTAATTGAATAATTAGAATTTTCTTATAAATCCTGGGTTTGTTCACTGAAGACCCCCCCCCGTCCTCAGAGCTCAGGATAATCCAGTTATCTGAAACACACGGAGACGCTGGTGAGACGCTAACTGACCTGAATCATGGTCTGTTCTGACAGATCCTGCTGATCCTTCACACAGAGACACGTCACCATGCCGACCGTCAAGAGCAAGAAGAAGAGGCCGAAGAAGGAGGTGAACGATGAAGAGGAGCCGGGAGAAGGTGAGAGGTGACAGAGTCTGAGTTCTACTATCATCTACTGTGTTCTACTGAGTTCTACTATCATCTACTGTGTTCTACTGGGTTCTACTATCATCTACTGTGTTCTACTATCATCTAC